AATCGAATTAATATTATTTCTGAGGGGTTCGGATAATTTTAACTTTGATTGAGGATAATAAAGAAACAGAAGTGGCGACGAAACAGCAATACATTTTTAGTTAAAACTAAATTGGTATTTAACTATTAGAATTATTTAAATTGACACTCTGATTTCTGATTTTCCGTACTCATGTCCTCTAGTTCAAGATTTAAAGAAATGGACATTTATTAAATGAAATATTTAATTGGGAAGGAAAAAAATGCAATCTTAATGAAAAAGAAATAATAATTATAGCATATAATATCAGGTATTATTGAAAATGCGAATTGTCATATTTTTAATACATATATTTATTATTGTTATACGGGATATAAAAATATGCATAAAATAATGATGGGAAATAAATTGGTGACAGAACAAGTTTCACCAGTTTCTTTACAGAGTATTTAATTGTTATTTCTGTATTTGCCTTGGGATAAATTTAAAACTGATGATTCAATGGATGTTTTTTTTATTTTTGGTTTTGGCACTGCATATTATCCGAGAATATATCGGGCTGATGGATGGACAATTGTAAGACTGCGGAAACTGTTTCTTCTGGTGTTGGGGTCAGCGGCCATAGAGCGAATGAGCTCTCAACGCATTTTGTGAGAATGTCGTTGCACTTTATACTTGGGGAGTTAGACTTGGGTGGACATTACGAGATTTAATGGTGACGGAACCCGTCGAGAGCACCAGTTGCGGTAGCTACAGGATTTTTACGGCTTTTTTTAGGTTGAAGTATGAGTGATAGACTAGGGAAATGTGTCTAGGTCTTTTTGAGGCACGTTTTTAGTATTTTTCCTGGACCTACAGCGAATATCGTCTCTCAGGATCCTCCAAGAATGAAAATCCACCCGCGATTTTCACCTCCAGCATCTGGCTCACGGGAAAAATCTAAAAATTCTGAGTGATTGACGATTAAACTCCTTTTCGCATTGGGACTGGCAGGCGCCGAGGATAACCGAAAGTTCAAAAAATAGTACAGCCGGATTTCTACATTTTTTAATTGAATTTCCAAATTAGCAGACGAACTGGAGTAATGAAAAAAAAACGAAAGATGAAGAGATGAAAAAATGAAATTGGTGATGAGGAATTTCTACACAAATCGCCAAATCTCTGGAATTTTTTCGTACGTCAATAATCATTGGGTATTTTCAACCTCGAAGTCACTATTTTTGAATACTTGATCAGATTTCACGTAATGGGGACTAGATAAACCGGGGATTGTTTGATCGGTCTGCTATGGGCCTCGAAGATGAAAGAAATTGGCGGGGTTGTCAAGAGAGAGGATTGACATGAGGAGTTGAGAAGAATTCCAAAGAGGTCTGATCGTCCTTGAAAATCAGACGCCTGAGATTTCTGTAGGGAATTTCCAATTCAGATCGTGTGAGTATTTTGGGGTTTTCGTTGAAAGAAAAAAAAAATGCTGTTTCAATTTTTTTGGGTTGATTTTATTTTCGAATGAAGATGAACATTAATTCTTGAAAATTCATACCTAAATCCAATTGGAGATTGACGATTGACACACAATGCCTCTGAAAGCAGACCTGGTTAAGGGGTGAAATAGTAGATGGGGTGGTACAACTGGGGGATGGTTTATGCAGATGTGGAAGCGGGGGAGGTTGGCCCGAGGTAAACAACGGCAAACGCTGGGGTAGAACAAGCACTGGGGGTACCTCAACCACCAACCGAGATAGACACTTGTTATCCCTTCCGAAACTGTGCAACATTGTACGAAATACGAATTTAGAGAGAGACATAGGTGAGGCTGAATTGCGCCTGTCGTGTGTGGGCGAAAACGCATAATGCGGTCGTGGATAATGTTCATGGTCTCTTCCCAATGTACATTTTCCGTGCAAACGGACGACGAACCTATCACCCACAGAAAAATACCCGGAAATATTCAGGAAAGTTCCGTAATCCCCGGGTGAAATGTCATTCAGTCAAGAATTGAAAAATTTTTTGAACATTTCATTTTATTTTTAGTCTCATCTTTGATGATCACTCAAAATAAAATATTGTAGAAATAAATATCGATGGAAGAATGTATAAAAAATATATGTTGTTTATATTATTTGTATATAAATAGATTTTCCCTTGAAATCTATAATACATGCCTTTTTACAAGATAAAATGAAATGGTGAAATTTTTCAATGAAGTTTTAGTATGAATTGTTTAAAAAATGTTACTCGGGGAAATTTTTTGGCGGTGTACCTGGATAACTCAACCCCTAGGAATGAAATAACAAGGAATTTGTAAGTTGAGTGAACTCATGTCTAAAACCATCAACACACACGAGCAAAACTTTGCATAATCAGAGTTTGTTTGAAGAGGGGCTAGTGCAGTGGGAATGAACTGACGTAAGGAGGAAACGGGTGAAATAAAGCAAAAACAGGGTGGTAGAAGCGGTTATAAGAGAAAAAAGAGGAGTTTGTCGGAGAGGAGATCGTCTTACGCGATCTCCGAGGGGGCTCTATTATTAGCTGATGGTGGCTCGATTATTCCGGAAGCGAGAAAACCGGGGGAATTATCGATGTCGGCAATTTCTCGTGTTAAATTTCATCCGTGATCCGCTCGAGTACCATTCACCAAATTATTTTTCACCTGTTCAAACCTAAATCCTGTACGCGGGAGCTTTCAATTTCGATAAAAAAAAA